TGTAATCATAGTGACAGATGGGGAGGCAAAGAGAATCCAGCTATAAACCCCGAAAGGTTTTTTTCTGCAACCTGCTTCCCTGGGGCGCGGGGGGGGGGGGGGGAGGGCTTTGAGTCCAGTCAGTGACCCAAGAGAGAATGGATTTGGAGGCTTAGATGGCATGTGTCTGTAGATGGACAGGTGCTATCACAGGAATTTGTCCTGATCTATTAGGAATTTCAAGTGTCCTTAGGATTTTTCTACATAAGCACTGAAGCTTTCTTTGGGGGAATTAAAAGTATAGTGTGGGGGTCAACAAGATGGCAAAGTGGGTAAAGGAGCCTGCGGCCAAGCCTGTTGACTTGAGTTTGATCCCCCAAACCCACATGGTACAAGGAGATAACTGACTCTCTGAAGTTTGTCCCTGACTCCCAAATGTGTACATGGTATGTAAGTATGAGAACATGCTCGTGTCAACAAACACACAGACACACGCACATGCAAACAAAGAAAACGGAATAAGTGTTTGTTTTAAAGTATGATGTGAAGAACAGCTGAAGAAAGTGTTTGGGGCTGAAGGGACAAAGGAGGGTGTAAACTGGAGGAGAAACAATGATCGTTTTGCCAGAAAACAAGACCTGAGGGTGGAGGATGAGTGGAATGATTCCTAGGGGTTTCCGAAGGCAGAAACATGAACCAGGTACTCACAGACAAAATTTTGATGTAAAACAAGGAATGATTTTTTAAACAAGATGACTGGATAGTAGCCAGGTAGCCCTTGGTTGGGTGCTACTGTAGTCCTCTACTGGTGATTATATTAGAGGAAAAGAGGAGACATGTGTGCACGTGCTCATGAAGACACACCACACCAAGTGTTGAGGCATTATGGCAGCACTGGTCATTTTTATCTCATCTCTTAGCTGTTACATCTTTGAGGCTCTTACCCATCCTGGTCCTCTTAGTTAACACATAGATCTTTAGACCTCTTTCTGTATCATCATTTCTAAGATTCCACATAACTAATCCAGATTCCTGACATGAATATGTCTGGTGGCCTCTGTGTCAGGTACCCATCACTCATCCAGTGATAGGAGGTCAGGTTTAGGATTACAGGTATGAGACCTTGCTGGTCTAGGACATCTTTCTGAGCAGGGTGTGAGGACAGAGCAGGAACTAAGAGCATCATTCCCAGGTTCTAATGTGAGACTGATCCAGTCTACTAAAGAGCCCACTCTCTAAGTACATGTAATATGCAAAACGATGCTTCTACTTCTAGATGGTGATGCATGTCTATCCTGGTTGTGAGACCGTAGACCCTGTAAATACAAAAGCTGAACAAAATTTCCATACAAAAGTATTCAGTAGCACCAAAGAGGTACTTAATAAAGACCCGATGGACATAGCCACTGCTTGATGGGCCTGAGTAAAAAACAAAGCATGAATCTTCATGAAGTCACACATATATATATGTGTGTGTGTGTGTGTGTGTGTGTGTGTGTGTGTGTGTGTGTGTGTATTCCAGTGTCTGGGACAAAGTGTCAACAATACGAAGAGGAAAATCATATGGGTGAGCATCCAGGTCCATCCTTGTACATATTTTTCTGCTTGCTGAGGATTAACAGTAATATACCACAGGTATTTTTTTCTAATAGCCTTAGTGGAAAGGGAAGGGCAATAAACTCAGTGAGATCCTTGTTCTTATAAACATTAAAAGGGCTTGCAGAGAGATCCCTGGCTCCAAACTCACAGGCGCAGCATTCATAATAAGTATGCTGGGAAAGACAATCCTTCAGGGAACTAATGTATTTGTATGTCTATTTAGAGAGTAATACAACTTTAAACCTGGGGTTATAAAATTCAAATCTATACTTTCTGAGGACTTTCATCTGATTTACATCACTTGCAATGCCTTTAGGAAGTTATGCTCACTATGGCCTTTGGTTACAAAACGTTTGAAGTTTATAACTTCATCAAAATAATAAAAAAAAAAATGGACTTGACTTATTGATTAAGACAGGGTCTCACTCTATGGCCCTTAGCTGGCCTGAAGCTGGCTATTTAGACTGGCCTCCAGCTCACAGAGATTCACCTGCCCCTGCTGGAAGGAAAGGCCTGTGCCACCACTCCCAGAAATGTCCATATTTCAGATCCTTTCACAATGGCATGTTTTCTGAACTTAGTCTATGAAGGAACACACACACACACACACACACACACACACACACACACACAGATGAAGATTCCTTAACTTCTCCTCCAACACAGAGCCTCAACAGAGTGTCTGTATTCACTGTGAATTCCAAGCAGATTTAATACTATGGCACTGTGAAGAGGGTTGCACAAGTAAAGACAGACCACCACAGGCCCATGAATCTAATTAGCACTCCTTGAGGAGACTGTTAAAAAATGAATTAAAACAAAACAAAACAAAACCTCCCTGGGAGTGGAGCATTTGTTTTTGAGCATTTTAAGTTCGGAGGGCATCTAGAAAAATTAGGGTGACTTATTTAGGTTCCCTGGAGTTGAAAGTGGGCTTTTCTTTACAGAATTTTACTCCTTCCAGTACAGACAACAACATGGTCCACGTGGCTTCTAAGCAGTCGCAGTTGTGAAATTTTTTTTTTTTTTCGTGTGGAAGTTGCAACTGCAGTTTGGTCTTTGTGACCGTTTCAACCTGTGGCCCAAGATAACCACTGATTGATGGCTTGTGTTGGGTCCCTTCCTTTTTGGCTCGCCTGGCTTGAGGTCACAGATTTGGCTGTGAGGTTGGGGGGCGGGCTGGCCTGTTGTCTGTATGCAGCCCTGTGGTGGGAATGGCAGTGGTAGTGAGGTGGGGTGGGGGACTGCTTCCAACTTCCAGAGCCTTGGTGGGGGCTCTGGTGATGCTTCAGCTTTCCTGCTACAGGGAGCATCCTTCCTCCAACACGGCCTTTCTCCTTGCCTTGTCTTCCTGTGCTCGGGCCAGCTGCATCGGGTCAGCCAATCACACGCGAGCGTTCGCAGCAAGCACTGGCCAATGGGCTGCCCGCGTTTGCTGGAAACGCGAAACCCTTAGGGGAGAAGCAGTAACAAAAGCCTTTCACTGCAGACAAATGTTAAGTGTCTGTGCAGACTTTTCCTGTTTTTAATTTTATTACTGCAAGAATGGAGGGTTTGTTGTTTCTTTCATGTTTCCTTTCAAGCAATTTTAATTATACATTTGTGCTACATCAGGGACTCTGGAACGCAGTGATTTCAGCCTATTGCCTCTGAAGCTAAAATGCAGTAACCTTCTGGCAATACAGATACATTCCTGCACTGTAAATATAGCTGACATGCTAAAGAATTTTAAGCAGCTGCAGAGGTCTGTGACACCACACACGGTGCCCCAGAGAGCAGATGATGAGAAAGCCAGCTCCATTTGCCCCTCTCCTCCTCGCCCCACCCCTCTTTCCTGAAGGGATGT